AACAGCTTCCGCTTCACAGGCTCAACAACCAGGCAAGTCAATTAGCATTTATTAAGTACCTACTATGTGCAAGGCACTGCGTTAATTGCCAGGGATGCAAAGAAAAGGGGGAAACCCCAGCACAGTCCTTGTTCTTGAGGAATTCAGTCTAATGGGGGAAACCACATTCAAACAACTATGTACAAACAAGACGTGTTGGGTTGAATTGGTGCTAATCTTAGAGGTCAAGGTCATTGTGAGGAACATGGGAAGTAAGGTATGTAAAGACCTTGGTGCTTTGAGACAAAGGTTATCAAGCTTTGACCTGTGTTTGCTGTTGGCCCTGAATCCCAGGCCAAAGATTCATTCTTAATTCCATAAGAAGTAGAAAACCATTGAGTTTTTGAACAGGGGATGGCATTTGGAGTGTTCTACATTAAGATGATCCTGTCGATAGCACATAGGATGGTTTGAGGGTGGGGGGAGAGAAGGGATAGGAACCAGGGGACCAGTTGGCTAGAAAGCTGTCCCCCTCATATCTCTGCCCAGAGGGAAGGGCTACCCAAACAGCTGATTGATTCAAAGAACAACAAAGCTATTTTAATAGTTCAAGTGAGAGAGAGGTCTGAACTTAGGTCAGCACGGCTGAGTTAGGAACTACTAGAAGGAAAAAGCCTAAGTTTTTTTGGGAAGGAACCAGCCGGATCATTTTTCCACGTGAATTCCTCGGTATCACCCACATTCACATGAACTTCTTATAAACTCTGGTTAGCCATACGACTTATGGAAAACCCAACATCCCCCTGACCAGAGCCTGTCACAGTTCCTAAGCAGTGGGACCAGCAGTGACTCAGGATGCAACAGGAAGCTATGAGCCCCATCCTGCCAGGGCTGGTGGTTTTCAGGTGAAGACCACAAACAGGACTCTAAAAGCTGGCTAAGTACACCATGCGCTCCCCTCCTAGGTGCAGTATCCCCACTTATTAGGAAACAGGGATGCCCGGCAGAGGTGGAGGTGGGGCTGGGGAGCAACGGCCTATAATATCAGATTTATATATATATGTATATTGACGGTTTGCTGAGTTTTTCCCTCTTCATCTTTTTCTTTAAAAAAGAAAATATTACAAGTGATAGTTCTCTGGGGAGGAGGGAGAACTCTAGGTGATGTTAAAAAAACCACAATATCAATAAATATATATATGTATATTTTTAAAGAAAACATAGATGTTCTCCATGCCTATCATGTTCAATTCCCCCTCACCTTGTTCAGCCCTTCATGCTCCAGGTAGCTCAGTGGCAGAGTGGATAAAGCTGGGCCTGGAGTCAGAAGACCCGAGTTCAAATCCAGCCTCAGACATTTCCTAGTGTGCAACCCTGGGTGATTTGACTTAATTTTTCAGCTTCAGTTTCTTGAACTGTAAAATGGAGATAATAACAGCATCTATAGTGCATGGCTGTTGTGAAGCTCAATCATGAAATAATGTTTATAAAGCACTTAGCCCAGTGCCTGGCACACAGTAGATGCTATAGAAATATGTCTTTCCTCCTCCTCCCCCCCTGCTTCCCAAGTTGGCTTCCAGAAGCTGACTAGAAATGTGAGAGATTTCATCACACCCATTGAGGGAGATACTGGCCAAGCACAAAATGGGTGGGTATGATCTGGAAGGCTCAAGGAGCCCCAGATGATAAGGAAGAATCCCTATTTCCCCACAGCATCTATGAGTTAATACCCACCTGGCAAAAACCTATCCCACAATGCCACAGATCTCTTTAAAAATTGTTTCCAAGTTTCTGTAAGAATTCATTTACAGATATTTAGCTCTGTAGGGGAAAGAGCAAATTTAGGGGCCAAGTGGTAAGAAATTCTCTGTTCCCTTGTCTCTTGAATAAAATCTGCTACTTGCAAAAGTGAAAAAGGTAGTGGAACCATACCCCAAGAAGCTCCCTGATCAATAGTCCCCATATATACCAATAAATTCATGGCAGCACTTTTTTCACGGCAGCAAAGAGAGGGAGAAAAAGCAGCTGCCCATCAGTGGGGCTGGCTGAACAAGTCATAGCTCATGACCATAAGGGAAGATTACACTGATGAGAGAAACGATGAAGAGAATGAAGAGAGAAGCATGGGAAAAGCTGGATAAACCGAAATAGGGTAAAAGAAGCAGAACCAAGACAAAGATACACACATGATGATGATGACTAAAAGTGAAAAGAAGAAAACTGACAGCTGTGAAACTGTCCTAGCCAAGCTTAGTGCCAAAGAAGAGAAAGGAGAAAGCCGATTCCCCCTTCTTTGCAGAGGCAGGAGACTAGGCCCGGCGGCGCTCTGGAACTACGGAGTGGAACACTCTTTGGCTCCAGAACTTTTACTGTCCCCTCCCCCCAACATCCTGATTGGGGAGGGCCTCTGGGGACCCACTCCACCTGGGCAGCCTCAGCCCTGCTTCTCTTTAATTCCCACCGTGGGTTCAACAGCTATTTTGCTGTGCCTATACCTACACCCCCTTTCCAGTTCTGGGACCACTGTTGTTGTTGAGTCCTGTTCCGACTCTTTGTGACCCCATTTAGGGTTTTCTTGGCAGAGATACTGGAATGGTTTGCCATTTCCAGGAACTGAGGCAAAAAGGGTGAAGTGACTTACCCAGGGTCACACAGCTAGTAAGTGTCTGAGGCCAGATCTGAACCCAGGTCCTCCTGACTCCAGGTCCAGTGCTCTACCCTCTGTGCCACCGAGCTGCCCTGTATGTGAATGATGCTTATTAGCACGGTCCTTGGAGCCCTCACACTTTATACAGTCCTTTTCGACCACACGGGATCCAGTGACACTGGCCTCTTCTACCTTCTGCAAACAAGACCCTCCACCTCCCTAGGCATTTTCACCGGCTGTGCCCTGTGCCAGGAATGCTCTCCAGGTTCATCTCAGCCTTCTGACTTTCCAGGCTTCCTTCAAGTTCCAGCCAACATCCACCTTCTACAAGAAGTCTTTCCCGATACACCTCAGTGCCTTCCTGCTACTGAACAGTTCTATTTATCCTGGATATAGTTTGTTCCTTGGAAAGACGGACTTGAAATTAATAATTAATAATAATAATAAATAATAATCTAATCTAATAATAATTAATAATCTAATCCTAACGAAGGAGTGGGTCAAAGAACAAATCATAGAAATAATCAATAACTTCATCCAAGAGAATGACAATAATGAGACAACATACCAAAATTTATGAGATGCAGTGAAAGCAGTTCTTAGGGGAAGTTTTATATCTCTCAATGCTTACATGAATAAAATAGAGAAAGAGGACATCAATGAATTGGGCATGCAATTAAAAAAGCTAGAAAAAAAAACAAATTAAAAATCCTCAATTAAATACCAAATTAGAAATACTGAAAACCAAAGGAGAGATTAATAAAATTGAAATTAAGAAAACTATTGAATAAATAAAACCAAGAGCTGGTTTTATGAAAAAATCAATAAAATAGATAAACCTTTGGTTAATTTAATTAAAAAAAGAAAGAAGATATAGTTTGTTCCTACACTGTTGCTTACTTGTTGACTCCCCCATTAAACTGTGCCTGCCTGGAGAGCACGTAATAAATTTTCATGACTGACCAAGTAACTGTTTTTTCATTCATTCATTCATTCAGACTTTTCTGATGGACTTTCCTTCTCCTTTTATGCTGTTATAAGAGAGCAGGAGGGGATACACTGGTTAAAGTAGGTTATGTAAAAACAAAAGGCAGGCACAGCTCTGGTGAGGAGTGCCCGTCCCTGTCCTGTTCCTTCCCCCCGCCCCCCAAGTCATTAACCATTTACAAAACTTGGTTTTCTGCAAATATTTAATAAAGAAAATTCCATCTGTCTGGTGACCTTTCGCACCTGGTGCTGGGGGATGTGGCCCCTCTCTCTAGCCCTGCAGTGTGTCCTTTAACAGGCTATTTCCATAATAAAAGAAAACAACAAACTATTCCAAAGCAGCTCGGGAGGGGCATTTGGAAGGGCCCTTATAAACGAGAAGGTCAATCCAGGAGCTCTCAGTTGCTCTACAAATCTACAGGCTCTACAAATCCCACCTCTTTGTTCCCAGGTCAGCTATTTTTTGACTTACATAGTATGTATATTGTGCTTTTAACTCATTACGGCTGCAATGAGGCAATTCAAGCATGCCTTGCCCTGGTTTTTCACTGAAATTTTAACAAAACATGGATCTTTGTCTGAGGGTAGCATATACTGAAACATACATTGGTAAGCTCTGAGGAAGCCGGGGTTAGGGTTATTGTGGCTGAGCTTGTAACTGGGAGTCCAGAGGTCTCAGTGCTAATCCTGGACCTTCCACAAATTCCCTTTGGCTTTGGCAGATCCTTTACCTTTCTCTCTCTCTCTCCGGCTCTTCCCTCTTCCCCTTCCCATCTCTCCCCTTCTCCCTCTCTCCCTAAATCCCTTTCTCTCTCTCCTCCCTCACCTTCTCCTCCCCCTCATTCAGTTTCCTCTTTGGTCCATTAAGGAGGACTGGATGAGGTGCGCTGGATATGGTTGCCAATCCTGCCGTGGGTCAGTGTCTCCTGGTTAGAATGTGAGCCGCTCCGGTGAAGGGAGCCCGCTTTTGCCTCTCTTTGTATGCCCAGCGCTCATCACAGTGCCTGGCACGTGGTAAGCGCTTAATGATACCTACCTATTAACCAAGTGCTCGAGGTTTTAAGCGAGTCGATTAACCTTTCTGGGCCCGCTTTATAGTCTGTAAAAATGACCAAGGTTGGCCTTGATGACTTCTAAGGCCGGAATTCGGGTTCGGGGCAAATCCCGCTGCCTGTGATTGGTGCTGATGCAATGAGTGCGGAGTCTTGCTCAGAGATGCCTCCCAGCTTTCCTACCACGCGGGAAATGCCCTCCCGGGCAGGCTGAGCTGAGAGTCCCAGGCTGCCCGGGGCTTTGAAAAGCGTCCCTCGGGCTCCCCTCCCCTCCCTTCTCCCGACCCGGCCCCCCTCCCCGGAAGAGCCCGCCGGGGGAGGGTGGGCGAGCTCACCGCGTGCTGGCCGGGCGCCTTCTGCTTGAAGGTGGTGGACAGCGAGATGGGCGGCACCACTGCCTGGTGGGTCCACTGCTCGGGCTCCTGGCCCTCGTGGATGGCGTGGGTGGCGAAGTGCGGGAAGCGGGGCCGGAAGCCTTTCTCCGGGGCTTCTCTCTTCTGCATTCTCTGCTGCGGGGAGGGCAGGGCAGGGCAGGGCAGGGCCCTCGCCTTCTGGTTGGAGGCAGGGAGAAGGGAGGACGGAGGCAGAGAGAAGGGAGGACGGAGGCAGAGAG